TGCTTCCATATCTGAGGCTATGATTCACAAACTCTACCCATGGATTCGTGTACAAACCTGTGACTATCGTCAGCTCTTCTTCATTGCATCAATTTATTTGCATGCACCCCCCTCTTTGTCGTCATATATTCACTTACAATTCTAACCCACGTATACATCACCTATCTGCCTTCATCGCACTGGTATCGGCCTACTGCGCGTATACAGCCGGGGTTGTTTCGATGGGGCAAAGTACTGATAACCTATCAATAGTCACGCCTCTGCCCTCTCCTAACTCTTCTCGAGCAATGATCCCCGATACGCTACGCTCTAGAGCAGGTAGAACTCCGCATCAGATATTCAGTCACTGCACATGGAGGCACAGTCTGCCTTCACACGCGAATAAGGCGTTCCCAAACCTCATTGAAGAATGCGCACAGCAGCCACCACCACCACCACAACCGCAACCGGTATACCTTATACACTTCACACAGACTTCAGACGCACAGGCCATTCACGCAACGCTCTAATCGAAGAAAATTCGTCCCTCGGATAAGCCATACAACATTGTACGGATGGCCGGTAGAGTCCTCTCACCAATGTACGCCAATCTCTCCTCGAGTGTCTGGTCGACGGTGATACGCCCGTTTCCGTTGGACACAATCACACCACCGGCGCTATCGGACGGAATGTATTCGTCAGAAATCTTCAGTTCGAGCGACAGCTTGGTTCGCTCCTCGTACTCCTTCTTAACGACATCCAGCTGCTTCTCCACCAGCGCCTTGTCGGCCTCGCGCGTCTTGACTAAGACTGTGGTCTCGGTGAGGGTGTAGCAGGCCTCAAGGATCAGTCCCTTCAACACGTCGCCGTACTTGCCCTGGTCGTTGCCAATGTCCGCAAGACTCTTCTTGGCTTCCTCGAGCAGGTTGTTCACGTGGTTCTCACGCGCCTGCAGGATCTGCAGACGTGATTTGTTCAATTGGTTGGAGTATACAATCTTGCGCTGTGTGTCTACCTGCTTTTCCTTGCGCTCGTACTGCGACATAACCTTGAGCTTCTCCTGCTGCACAATGCGCCCCTTCTCAATGTTGAATTCTTCCTCCGCCTTTACGAGGATTTCGTTAGCCTTTTCAGCGGCTTCTTGCTCGATAAAGCTCACCTACAGGGTTCGAGAGTGTAAAATGTCTGGCTTGAGATACACTCGCGACTTTGACAGACCCCAATATCATTGCAGTATCAGTATATCACACTACAACGAGATGTTGAAGGAGGTAGCCAGGTTAAGGACATACATACAAACTTTAAGGTACTACAGGGTACAAGTGTATGATAAGCATAAATATAACTCATTACAGTGTTGCATATGCTACTGATATATAATTTTAGTACACGAACACACCACATGCATAGTCGACACTCTCCACCAGCTGTGCAAACTCGCAAAACAAAATCACACTATCTAGGCAAACACCACACTAGACAAGTGGGTTGTTCGTCCAACATTTCGAGCGAATTCTTTGTCCTCATTAGTACCCTAATAACTCTCGTTGGTTTGTGAGCTTAGTATCGTGCATGTGTGTACAATGTGCGTGCATGTGTGTACAACGTGCCATTTGACTCGCGTCCAGCTTGTTGTATTGTGGGTGCAACCGAACCAGAAACTTTGAATCGACAGTAACAGAGACGTACACGCAAGTTTGATAAAACGGAGGCTATATTGCATTTCAAATGTATATTTTGCACTTAACGAGAACATATACAAACCAGCGCCGTGATAACAGCGGGCTATATTATTTTCGCACGACACCCAGTATGACGGGACGCCAGTACAACGGGATACGAACCCCGTCGAGATATTAAATTCAATAGAAAAGAACCCGTAATCTTTTCTATATTTATGTACATTGTTAAACCAATATAAATTATATCGAAGCAGAATTCATACTGTGACTGTATGTTGTGTATTGCAAATCGGATACAAAGATACGAACTGACGATAAAATACTATTCTGAGCTCTGCAATCTTCTCCCGAATACATCCAACCAACAATAATAAATCCAGATTGAACGCTCTCGTTGGCGATAAAACTTACAGATAAACTTCACAAGACAATTGATATATGTGACTGAGAATGCTCAAGTCGGTTGATAAATACAAATTTAACCTAAGGCTAACTTATCGATTTGCTCACACCACCTACCATATGCTGGATTTGCTTGTTCACTTCCTGGTTGCTCAACGCCATCTTGTCGAAGTCTATCTATACTGAGCGTATAACAAATATTAACCTATCTGTGTTGATGTCAAGCAGACTTTAATCGTGCAATGTAGACGTGATAACTGATATAACACGATATCCTGCAGCTGAAATTAATGCCTCCCTGCTCGGCCTGCTGGGTACAGTTGGAAACAGAGGTGTATTTTTGTTTTCCGAATGAAATACTATCCAAATTAGGTAGGGACAAAAATATTCTCGATGATGCAATTTGTGTTTTATTTGTATAAAAAATAGACTATTCACGATAGACTCTCTATAGCCATTTTTATTCAGTGAGAGTATCATATTGTGGAAAGTGTCTTCATGCAACAAGTGTGGACAATTATTCGATGTTTTAAAAAGGTGTCTATAAATAGATAAGTTGCTGGCCCCAATCCTGATGTCCCAGACTCGAGAGTTCCAGGCCAGGCTCCGGCATTCTCCGCCATAGGGAGCGGGGTTTTTTTAGAAGCTATGATACATTGATATCTGCGACTTTATTATTTTTAGGAGGCTATTTTTAGGATTTTAGGTTGTATACTTTTTTTGTAGCCTTTTGAAAATTGAACAGCAGGCCACTAGGCTGTACCACCCTCTCGAAAAGGGGGTTCTGATGGGGAGTTATTCTCACATGAACCTCTGGGAGGCTATGATACAAGTTACCCTTGCGACCCTATGAATTCTGGACTCTGGAGACATGGGAAGGATATAATGTCAAGGGGACTGTCCAGTAAAGCCTTTTCATAACTTGGAGGGAATTACTGGTAAACACAAATATTATCTATGCATGCTCTTGGACGCTTAATAATTTGCTATCATTACATTTGCTTTTGATTTATGATAATACCGACTAAGCCACCACCAAAATTAGTCTTTTGCGATAGTAAAAGCTGATAAAATTGTCCTTTGAATGCCCACTTTTTGGTCAATATAAACTGACATGTGGGTGTCTTGATTTTTATTCAGTATATATGGAGCGCTCGATATACACTATATACGGACTACTATTCTTTTCTGGAATATTAGGATAATAGTCCGTCAATGTAGTGTGTTTTGCTGAGGGGAGGGGTAATGTGACAACACCCTCGCATATATACACGGATGATGTATGATGTACACTCAAAGTACTATGTATGAATGTAAACTTGGAACCGTCAATCGAAGTATTTGAGTCAGGTTCTTTGTAGACCACAATACTTCTTGGGTGCTGAAACTAACCCTTCGCATTCAGAGGTGATATTACCAAGAGATATATGGAAAGCAGAGACGTTCTTCATGGAACCACAAGCTGATTGACTTTACGTGCGCGTAGAAAGTATTTTTCTCGAAGAGTTTGTATATCGACTGTTCGAAATAATTTTTAATGCTTATTGGTCGAAATGAGTGTTCGAAATAAATTACTGTGTTTGGCTGTGTAACGGAGGTAGCAGACTAGATGAATAGTCCAGAAGATAGCTTAGATCATGTAAACACTATTGTCAAAGGAGCGACTAACTTAAGGTATTTGGTTCTGTAGTAGAAATATACGGTTCTAAGACCAACGATCGACTGAAATTCAATGATCGAGACGCGAACGGTGTGATTATATTCTACTGCACCTCTCGCAAACCAGATATACCTGTGTCTGTATTAATAAGTATATCTATGTACTTATAAGCAATATGTATTTATGCCGTTATCGGTAACGTCACTTTTTCGCATGTAAAAAAGCTCGATTTTCTGTTCAGGCTATGGACCAATAGCGCATACAGCATCGTGGCACTCTATGGTAACAATCAGATCTTGTGCGCGAATGCGTACTTCCAACAAGCGGTATAGATCCTGTACAAGATGCCGTCCAATATTTGCGCGGTTGCCAAATAGTGTTTTACAATGTTTGTATACTAGACTCTGTCGGAAGCCACCTACTATTCTAAAATAGCTAAGGGTATGGACCTATGCCGTTGGTCGGGACGGGCGTATGTATTAAATATAAATACTAAAATAGCTCAGTGAGACTCCTCCTGAATAACCTAGGTGAACGCACTGAAGTCTAAACGGCTTACGCTGGTATGTAGCTATGATAATATGTACATACAGGAGTACTTTTTCTGTTTTTCCGATTTTAAAATACTTTTTTTCTGAAAATATAGCATTTTTTTAACTGGCTAAAAGTGACCAATGTGATCAGAGTGGAAAGCGACCAGAGAGCCCCTACATTTTAATTCGAAAATGGAATCGGCATAAGGTACAAAAGTAACAAAACCCAACTGAATGTCAATGATGTCATGATGGAGGATGGACTCGTATTGGTCGGAACTCGGAACTCTGCATCTTTTTTTTTAAGACTCGCAAGTGACGTGACTACAATAATAGAAATACATCAGTACGTAGTCGAATTTGTACACTTGTTGTACAGTGGTGGGCTGGCATGTATAGTTATGTTCAAGTCTAACAATACTGATAAAACTGATTACAGTCCACTGATACGGGAGGATGCTGATAATGACCTACTTTGCTTCGGAGGTGACGGTACAAGCCTGCAAATGGCAACGCTTCTCTCTGGAGAGGATCCGAATCGCCATGTGACTGTAATGTCAGTTGGAAGCACTTGTGAACGTGAACAAGTAAACGATGAAGACGATTGTGAAGGACAATACAACATCGATGATACACAGGCTACAAGTAGTCGGAAGGGTGCGGTGTATTGTAGCTCCACTTTATTGTGCTATGCCCTCTCGGTGCTGATGACCGCATCATTTACATCGATTGTGTGTATCTTGTTATTCGGGAATGCCAATACAGCGACGGAGATTAAATACGTGGTCTCCGGCTACCAACCATCCGCTGTTCCTATCGCATCGGGCTCGCTTTCAAATCTGATAGTCGGTATTACAGGTAAGTATAACGGGTCGCTCCAATCGTTCGTTTCACCTTGGTGTTTTTAAACTCTTGTATTCACTTTTCGTCCAGCTAATTGTATGTTACCGAAACGTTCACAACCGATATACAATCCGTCCACGCTACTTATTGAAACGTCTTCTTCCAATTTCTCTCTCTTTTACCCGATTTAGATGGTATGGGACCGTCGTACGCGACTTTGGCACGCATATTGAAGCAATACGACAACAAGGAGGATGTCCACAATACGTACACAAACACCAGTCTAAGTTTCGACTGCGACCTCATTGGTCAACAACGTACGCGCTCGTACGATTCATACATAACGGACTCAGCCGCGGCCGCATCAGCGCTGGCCTCAGGGCATCGCACAAACAATCACTGGATTGGTGTTCTGCCGAATCTGACCAATGTTGCACCGGTATTCAGTGCAATCAAGAACCAGAAGAATATGCATATTGGGCTGGTGGTGAAAAGTAGTGTCACGCATGCAACGCCAGCCGGATTCTACGCGCACACCATCGATAGAGGCAATGAGTATTTGATAGCTGACCAGGCCTTAGATTTTGAGCCCGATGTGCTGCTAGGAGGCGGTAGGGACTACTTTGAGAACCGTCCCGTGGCATACTACTCGTCCACTAAAGCCATACATAATAGGTCTTCTTTAATACCAGACTTTGAGGGGAAAGGGTACATTATAGTCTACAATAAAAAGGATCTACTGGCGTCAGATCCCAACGCCGGTAAGAGAGTGCTGGGTCTATTCGCAGGCGGTGCAATGAAGTTCAGTATCGATGGCGACAGAGAGAGCGCAGCCCCAGATCTGCTAATAATGGTACAGTGTGCGGTAGATGCACTGGAGGCCATGTCAAAAGCTTCGGGAAAGCCGTATGCGCTTATGCTCGAGGCGAGTCTGATAGACTGGGCAGGCCATATAAATGATGGTGCAACAATTGCGAGAGAGGTCCTGGAATGGGAGAAGGTATGGTCCTACTTGAAACAACGAGTGTGGGACCAAGACCGGGTGCAAAAGCAGGATGCACGAGCCGAGACTGTGACCAACACACAGACAGGAACTCCGAGCACTTCGCCATTCTCACTGCGACTGCTGGCGACATCCGATCACGAAACGGGTGGGTTGACTATCGGTGCCAACGGATTGGAAACATTCGACGTTGCTGCACTGGCCAATCAGAAGTCATCGTTCAGTACCGTCTACTCCCAGCTGGCAGCGCATCGGTGGTCAGAGTACCCGCAATCTCGCAAGGAGGCAATGGCGTATGTTACGGGACTAGCGAGCGAAGCACTGGGAATTCCGGTGTCTCAGTTTACAGAGGAAGATCTAGAATGTCTGTACTCTCCGCTCCCACCAATTTCGCCCGACCACGCGCCCTCACCTGGTCAGCGCAGTTTTTCGATCGATTTAGACTGTATTCAGAATGCTCGAGTACATACCGCATATACCACCAATGGACACACAGGCGCGGACGTGAATGTTTATGCGTATCCGCCACTTGATCCTATATTTAATAGCTTACGAGGTGTGGTCGATAATTTTGATATCGCCTGGTGGATGGCATCACAGTGGGATGTGGATATGAGTTCTGAGCGAGAAAGAGTAGCCCTTATACCTAATGGTTCCGGGTGAGCGCACTCTCTGCTTGTCAAAGGCAATCGTCGCTAAGGAGTTAAAGAGATATATTCATTGATCACAAATCATGCAGAACAGACTCGTGAACCGCCGATCTTGTTGAAGCGATCAGAAGTGGAACATGAGAACACTCTCACTCCTGTAGAAAGGATAACGATCACGATTCACTTTAAAAAAATCCAGCTGGGCTAAAACATGAGTACTACTCCAACCTTTTACGCCTGGCAACTGGAAATAATTTCAGTTGTAATACTTTGCTATGCTGCCTGTCAGCTTGCATCATAGGTGTTCCTTCTATCATTGCCTGGAAGCAAAGGCGTTTCTTCACCATCATCCATGTCAAGATTTTGTAGGCTGTGTGCTGTTGGTGCATCGTATGTCTCCTCCGAGACACTCGGTAAGTCCCAGCTGGGTGCAGCTGGTGCCGTAAAATCGCGCGAAGTGACTTGTCGTAACCTCCAGCTTGATCGTCTCTGGAGATGGAGGAAGTACAGCAGATGTAGGCAAGGCTGAAGGGATCAGGAAATGAAGAAACAAGGCCACGATATCATGGCCTCCTATATGGAACAGAAACTCGGAATGACACTGCTTCGCGTAATCAAAATTTTGCTGGCGGTTTACCCTTAGATCTGCGAGGTTGTGTTGTTCTGGCCCCTTTTTAGTTTCGATAATCGCCCAATCGATTAACAGACCTGCAATTGCAAGAGAAGTATCAGTCAAGTGATTCTGGCAAACCTCCACTCTTGGAATTTTGGCAATTTGAGGTGGGATGCTCTTGTGCCGGATAAATGACAAGTAGACGGTGAAAACACAGCAGAACGTGCAAGGACGCGTTGGGAAACTTCTGATTTTCACTCCTGCTGCTACCTGAAAGGTGTGTTAGATGCATAATAAGCAGCCTCAGAAGGGAGTTGAGTGCAGCGAATGATTCAGCTTCGTCAGCGTTGATACCGGCGCGGATATTATTCTCCTGTGATCAGGTCAAGTTGCGTCCATAGAAGTGAAGGATGAGTACGACAGAATGCATATCAGATTCAAACTTCATCAGGAAAAGCAAATAGGCGGAATTAACCTGAATAACTTCTACAATCCTTATGATATACCTTATACAGTCCGCTCAAAGCTATATAATCGGACTCTACTCTGCGGATATTTTCCGTGAGTCGCTCGCTAGCGACAATGGTATTCGTTTCGCCGTGAATGCCTTTGATTACATCGGCGGAACACGAGAAAGACAACTTCAATGATCCCATAACCTGTGTGCGACATAAAAAGAGGTTAGCGTGAGAAACCCATCACGAATATACGAACAATCATGAAGCATGTCCTCTCTTGGTAATCTGTAGTTCATCGATACATAAGATATCTCTGAGAGTGTTCAACGAAACTCAAACCAACCTTGATAACAGCTTGTTTCAATTCATCACTCAGACCAATGGGTCTGATCGTCGTCGAGGTTCGCGTGCGTAATATGTTGGGGGCTTGAGTATTCTCTCTCGTCGTCGCCAAGGATGAGATATTAACATACGTTGCCGCAGTATCATCCACCTCGCCTGTTGCCTGCGTACAGTGATACGTTAATAATTGTTGGGATCTGAACTCGCGCCATCAAATGGAGGCGGACCATGCTCTTGGAATATAGAGGAAACGTTCAAATTTAAAAGTAGACGCTTGTGAACATATATGCGACAGCGATAACAGACTTTGATTACCTCGATAGCGCTTATGAAATATAGGGTTGCCGTCGTATAAAATAGCCTGTTGACATATATTAGTATCTCTTCAAAGAGTTCCGCTAGTTTCTTCTCGCGGACTGTAGAAAGTGTAAATTGTGGTTGAATTTTCAGTATTATTCTCTAAACCCGTGCAAAGGTTGCATGTACATATTTTAATACACAATCACACACTGTGACAGTACGCGATGGAAATCTAAATTCAGAGTCGAGAACGTACGTGCAACTGATTGCGTTATATATCATACGATGGCTACTTACGAGTTTTTCCGCCCCATTTATATTCTGTGAAAGCTGGTTCGATCAGGCCCTGCACAAATTTGAGTAAGTGATCTTAGATCTCGATCGAAAGATTTCGCCAGTAATATTGAAAACACGACGATCGATAACAAAGATTAGAAAAATGCATAACAGAACAAGACACAGCATTGAATTCACAAAAGCTAACAATATATATATATATATATAGAGAGAGAGAGAGAGAGAGAGAGGCAGCGATCGATGTGGCTCATGTGGGAATTACCTGCAACGTACTGACGGAAGCCTGAGTCTTTATAAGTTGTGCCAGTAGGTAGTTCCGTCTGTGCAAAATGTATCGATTTATGCACTTAAACCTCTAGCGTTAGGTTCAAACATGTCCAAATTTAGACGTGCTTTGGGCTTCGTACATATATATATATATATATCAGGAGGAGCAAAGGATAAGAAACTAAAACAAACGTGACAGACTTGTCTAGCATTAGATTCAACATAACACCATGTACGGCTAGTATGTACCAACACCGTATGGTGACCAATTTACGAGTACATACTTGGCAAGGATAGCATCCCTTTCCTCCATGGACTGTCCCATCTGGAAGAGTTCCAACAAATCACTGGCGGTTTCCGACATTTCGTTCAATGATATTGAAACAGTTTCCTGTCGCGAAAGGAACATGTGAAAGCATGTTAAGACTGGCGTATCAATGGGACAAAGGCGAATGAATAAACCTGTTCCACTCCAACACGGCATATCCCATAAGAACAAAATTTGACATCGCCTAGTTCGTGCGCTCACCTGCATCTTCTTGTGTGCTTTCACTGGGAAAACTAAAACCATTACAGTATATCTGGAAAAAGGAAATGTAGCAAAATACAATTAGAAGCCTGCAAGACGGTTGCGGAAGAAAAAGCGGCAGGAGGTGAGACCGGCAGGAGGTGAGACCGGCAAGATTTGTAGAGAAATAAAGCAGAGCTTCTCGCTTGGTTGCTTACCCTATAAGTACACCGATTGAGATGAGCAAGACTCGATCGAGAATGTGTTTCGGGCGTACACGATTCGATTTGTGTTGAAAAGTTATAGTAATGGTGTACGTCAGCATCGTGAGCAGAAAAGCGTAGTGATGTTGAGGGTACAGCTTCCGCGTATATGCCAGTCCAAAGATGATGAAGAAACTCTGTAGAACGTAGTTCATACACGGGAAAGGATGAACAATGACAAATATTAGTTGCAATACCTAAGCTAGACGTATTAGGGCTTATAAAACTGAAAATAATAAGGTCCGATCAAAGAAGACGCACTCTCAAATCAGCTGGTGTGTGCATAATAAATGCCATGAGTAAACAACTGCTCAAACCTTACACAGGTGGACCACGAGCCCCATAAGGGCGGCGTTAGAGCGATCACAACTTCCAACACACAGAATACTACGCACTTGTCACGATTTCAAACGTGTATTCTAGCTTTTCTCATATCTCACACTGAGGCTGCCCATACCACTACATGCAGGAGTATTGGCTTGGTACCACATTGCAAACACTCATCTCCTCCAAGCAAGTATATGATGGTCATGGTCATATACCCCAGAAAGCCACCGATTATCGTGCCGGTCACACGGTTGACGCTATTACCGTAAGGAAGACGGAGATATAGAAAAAAGATGCGTTACTGCAAGGTAGGTAGCAGCATATTTTTTCATGACGTAAGGATATGAACAATCTATAAAGGATCACTCTACCCATGTGTTGGAACCCACAACACCGCAGGGTGGCTACAACCGCCGCAAATTGACGGTTTGTAATACGATATGTACACATTCACATTGAACTCGATACAACTTGAGACAGACAACCCCCAATACGAGTCGCCATACAAAACAGTCGGAATGAAGGTGCATCGAATCGCACCTGGCTAAAGATAGACTAAAGCTGTTATTGTCGAATGCGATAAGGGTCTAAACTACAGACTGAGTATACAGCGCGTCAGTATGTATTTGACTGGGCAACTGCAATATGGCGGTTTATACGTAACAATGTCGATGTCTGGAAAACTCCGCTGATACGCTGTCAGGCAATAATATTACAAGTGCAGTACTTCATCTTAGTAAACATGTATCAGCACGCTGTTGCGTACATTATTTTCTATGACATCAATCTCGAATATGAAAGTATAAAAGCTGGTCCTGAAATCAAGCATCAAAACAGCACATACCACTTGCGTAATCCATCCCCGACGGTTGGAGTGATTATGATCACTGTTGTTGCTGCTGCCCTGTAAATGGGAGAGTCAAGATATCTATCACAAGACAGGAATTGACGATGCTGCAATATACCATAAGACAAAGTGCATCATTAGGTAGATACGCCAGATAAGCCCTCAATACATTTATATGTGGATACACATATTTACATATATATGT